CAATTTCCCACTGACTTTGGTGGGGGGTCTATAGTACAATCCCAGTAAGGTGATCATCCCTTTCTTATTTCCCAGATCCACCCAAATAATTCCCCCAGACGTACTCCCAGGAATATCCTCTTTAAGTACGGCCGTAATGGCATCCCTAATCAAAAATGCCACTCCCCCTCATCTCTTGCCCCCCTTTCTATCCTTCCTGTAGCATCCTGGGGGTTACCATTGACCAGAAACTCACCACAGTGGGTACAAGAGCAGGTCAGAAGCTAGGCGAGTAACTCACCTCCTGACTCCCCAAAGCCTGTCCACCACCTACAAGGCACAAGTCAGGAGTGTGATGGAATACTCCCCACTTGCCTGGATGGGTGCAGCCCCAACAACACTCAAGAAGCTTGACACTATCCAGGACAAAGCAGCTCGCTTGATTGGCACTACATCCACAAGTATTCACTCCCTCCACCACCGATGCTCAGTAGCAGCAGTGTGTACTATGTACAAGCTGCACTGCAGAAATTCACCAAAGATCCTCAGACAGCACCTTCCAAACCCATGACCGCTGCTGTCTAGAAGGACAATGGCAGCAGATATATGGGAACACCACCACCTTGAAGTTCCCCTCCAAGCCACTCATCATCCTGACTTCTTCACTGTCACGGGGTCAAAATCCTGAAATTCCCCCCCAAAGGCATTGTGGGTCAACCTATAGCAGGTGGACTGCAGCGGTTCAAGAAGGCAGCTCACCACCATATTCTGAAGGGTAGCTAGTGACAGGCAAGAAATGCTGGCCAGCCGGTGATGCCCATGTCCCATAAATAAACAAAAAAAAAAGAAAAAAATATATACCCTCGAACATTAAGCTGCCAGTCCTGTTCATCCCATAGCCACATTTCTGTAATTGCTATGATATCCCAGCCCCATGTTCCTAACCATGCCCTGAGTTCATCTACCTTACCTGTCAGGCCACCTGCATGGAACTAAATGCAGTTTATAGCTGCTGTGTTTATGTGGTGAGTCCTGTTGAGTTTCCTATCAATGATAACCCCCAGGATATTGATAGTGGGGTATTCAGTGATGATAACACAATTGTATGTTAAGGGGTGGCGGTTAGATTGTCTCTTATTGGTGGTGGTCATAGCCTGGCATTTGTACGGCACAAATATTACTTGTCACTTGTCAGCCCAAAAGTCTGGATATTGTCATGATCTCTTTGCATTTGAACATGGATTTTCAGTATCTGAGGCGTTGTGAATGGTGCTGAATGTTGTGCAATCGTCGGTGAACTTCCCTACTTCTGACCTTATGATGGAGGGAAGGTCATCGATGAAGCAGCTGAAGATGGTTGGGCCTGGACGTTATTGTGAGGAACTCCTGCAGAGATGTCCTGGACTTCAACCGACTGATCTCCAACAACCAAGCCCATCATCCTATGTGCCAGGCCTGACAACCACCGGAAAGTTTGCCCCCGATACCCATTGACTCCAGTTTTGCTAGGGCTCCTTGGTGCCACACTCGGTCGAATACAGCCTTGATATCAAGGGCTGTCACTATCACTTCATGAAGACAAATGGAATCATTAGTAAATTAAACCAAATGATATGCTATAAGTGGCTTGAAGAAATAATTAATGCCTGTTTCAGAAGTTACTCAGGGATTTGGTAAGCATGTAGATCAGTGTTGTATAACAATGGGAAGAGATGTGATGGTCTTAGTGATCTTTATCTGTTCCTAAAATTTCTTACAACACAGACTGTACCAAGAATGTATTAGTTCTTGGCACAGTCATACGGCAAGATGCCTGAGGCAGTGGAAGCTTAGCCTGCTAATAATCACAACCGCTCATTGTATGTATCAACCATTAGGAAACGTAACACTGAACATGTAATGTTGCATGCTATGGAATATGGAAATATAAGAAAAAGATTTTAAAGATATTTCATTTCTCAACACTGTATAGTTCTATCCAGATGTTATGTGCTGAAGTAATATGGCTTCACCATCACCACCTGTTCTTCTGATGATCTCATTCAAAAATGGAGTATGGGAAACTAGCCTTTAATTGTGCCCTTGACATTTCTTTCCTCTGACATTAAGCATAGTAAAATTTAATCAAACTGCCTGTGCTTTTTCTAGCAATTTTTCACTTAAGGCTCAATCATAGACTCTGCATCTCCTACTCTTCATGCACTATTCTGAAAGTAACCCTTTAATCTCTGTCAGTGAACGTCCAACCGAAATCAGCTTCTGCTATTTTCCATTGTGGTGTAAGGTTACATTCCAAAGCTACTGCTTAATGAAATCCCAATGTAAGCCTGCAGTGTGGGAGCTGGTCAGGAAGGAGGAAGGCAAGAAAAAGAGAGAGACAATTGAAAGGATAAAAGAGTTACATGGAGAGTGAAATAAATCGAGCCTTTTAAAGAAAAATAAATGTTATCATCAAACATCTATGAAGAATTTCACTGCGTTGGTTATCAAGTATTTTATTAGCTTCAATTTGGTAATTACAATGAATATTTGTGACCGTTAAGGAACAATCTCCTCAAACAGTTTTAACTTTATTTAGTATTAGATCAGAATTATATTCTGTGACTTGAAAAGGCATTCTGCACTGTGCAGACAATATAATTTCTGGGGATTTATTGAATGATGTCCAGCAGTTAATGCATTGTTTGTTGCTACTTTCAGTTATGCAGACCAGGTTCGATGCCTAGTTTTAGCTAATCATAGGAGCACTAATTTAGCCAAAATATCTCCAGAGACCAAATTCCAGATATCCCACCCCAAACCTAGCACCTACTATTTTGTCAGGGGCTGAACAGGGACAGGTTGTACATTGCACATGTTCACAGACACAATCGCACAAGGTGAAGCACAGACTGTCTTCTGTCTTCAAACAGATTCAGTTTTTGCTAAATATAACCTGTGGTCGTTACAGTTTTCCGGCAAGGTTGGATTCCTTTCTGGAGAGAAGGTACCTTTCTGGGTAATTCCAGTGACACTTGGGGAAGAGGTCAGGTGTCCTTTTGGGGGATGAACCTTTTTGTGGAGGTCACTTCCTATTTGGGATTGTTATAACTGGAATGCATATGTGTAAAAGAGTTGTCAGGAAAACTGTCAAAAGCATTGGAACCGATAACCTTCCAAAGCATTTCAAATTTCTTGGCTTTTTTTCTTTTTACTCTCACGCAAATTGGTGGCAGAGTAAGACACTCCATTCGGAGCTCCTCTGCTCCGTCCAATCTTTTCTTTCATTTTGCTCCTTCCTGCTTTTTATTCAACTGATGACTTTGACTTACCTGGAGAGAATGGAGGAGCCAGCGAGCTCCGGGGCTAATCCCAAAGCCATGGAGAAGCAGTCCCAGAGAAACCTTACGTTGGAGCAGCTGAGACCTAGTGAGGAGCAGGCTGGGGGCTGGGACGGTTATTGGACGGGGTCTGGTGCAGGCGGTCAGACCACTTGTGGAAGCCCCTGTGCTCAGCTACTGCAACATAATGTTTATGTGTCATTTGTTTATAAGACTGTAATGAACTATCCTTTTAAGTATGTCTTATTTCTGTAAAGTAATGCAACTACTTTGCTTATTCCTTTTTTTGTGTCTAAGATTTGTATCTAGGTACTTGTACCTAAGATGACAGGACGGTGGATTGACCATGCTAAATTGTCCGTAGCGTCGGGAATGGGTCTGGGTGGGATACTCTGAGGGTCGGTGTGGACTTGTTGGGGCTGAAGGGCCTGTTCCCATACTGTAGGGATTCTATGATATATTCTATGATATGATGCTATAAGAAGCAACATTGTACAACTCTTCACTGTACTCCTGTACGTCTGTACTTGAGTACACATGACAATAAAGGATACTCTCTTCTATATTCTGTTCTATTGAAAAAGAAGTCTGCAGTTTTAAACAAAAATCAAACTTGTTATTTTGCTCTGTTATTGCCTTCAGTTTGAACTTATTAACAGGATTTATGATCCACAACCTATCATTATCACAGAGGTGCCTTGAAGTTCAAAATTGGATCAACACCTCCATATGTTTATAAAGTATTTGACAAGAGGCAATGAATGCAGAAGTTTGTTTCTTGAGTGATTAAGTAGCTGAAGTAAGTTCTACGTAATAAATGGGTTTCTACCAATTGGTTTTTTAAAAAAAAAAATCATCACTAGGTATTTAGATTTTTGTGTAATTTTAACTCACCATGGGTCCTGAGATCTGTCATACTGGATGAGTTACCATGGGTGATGAAAGAACCAAGGGTAGTTACTGAGGAGCTGAGTTGGCATGAGTTGGCAAAAAGTGTTAGAAACGGCTTTTGGGGTTGGTGGAAGGGGCAGAGGTTGACATGGAGTGTGAGTGGCCATGATGGTGCAAGTAGGGGCTTGAATGACATGGGTAAGAATTGCAGGGGCATTGGCAGTGTATTGAATATGAGGAGCACCAGTAAGCTGTTTTGGTTTTATTGTTTTATGACAATGTCCCAGATCATCCAGGTTAGCCTTTTCCCACAGCTCACCTCTGTAGTTACCCCTGCGGTTACCTCCACAATATTCCCAGGGTATTGAATCCAACAGCCTCCCACACCCACCAATTCTGAACCAAAATTAGAACATTCATGGCACTTTCTCCCCAGTTAATTTTGCAAAGTTGGGAATTTTCCCATCTCTGTGCTCCTGACTTGGGAACAAAAATTCAAGTCATTGTAGAAACAAAAGCAGGCCTTGGGGGTATGGTTTGTTGTTCATTTGCTTTCAGTGCTAAGGAGCACAAAAGTCAGACTGAACTCCTGCTCCAGATTGCTACCAGTGAATCCTGCTTCCTATAGATGGTTAGCCACTGAACACTGGTTCTGTTTGTTCAGACAATACAACTGGTAACTTGGAGCCAATAGAGGCACCTCCAAGTATATAAGTCTGTAACTTTTAGGGGAGAAAATAGAAGCAGCTTGGCTAAATAATCTATCTATGGTATCTTTGGTAACATTGCAAATATTTTCTTTAATTTCAGAAGGAAGGACATACTATAGAAGAATTGGCAGCAATGTAACCCTGCAGTGTGAGACATCTGACAGCCATACTCCAGTGATATGGAGGTTTAATGGACATGTGATAGGCCACAAGGACGACCAGCTTCTTCAAGGCTCTAATCTTACCCTCCGAAACATAGATACAGCACAAAGTGGAACCTATAGCTGCCATGAAAAGCACAGCGGAAGGTTGAAAAATCAAATAATAATCCAAGCTGGAAGTAAGTGCTTTTTAAGCATTTATTTTTGATGGAATCCAAAAAAAAGTGACATCTTTTAAGGAAACTAGCCTACTGTGTACATAAATGATCCTGGAATAATGTGACTGAAAAGTCTTACAAAACAGCTTATGGTGAAGGAAACTAAGTCTGTCAATGGCAGAATAATGACCTCAGTAACAACCACTGAGTGTGTTGCCATAACTTTTCCGTATATTAGTAAAACATCAGCTCAGTGCAAGTGTAAGGAAGCCATATCAATCCACTTACTTTTGCTTAAAAACCTCACTGTTAAACTACTGCCTCTAATTGCTGGAAATTTTGGAATCCTGTGTACCCTGAAAGGTGAAATGTTTGAATTTTATTGAAAACAAATGAAACTTTAGACTTCCCGTACTAACGATGTTGGATTCCTCAGCTTGTGTCACTGTTAAAGACAGATTATGTAAGATTCAGAGTTCTAACCATCGTAATTGTACAGCAGCTTTGGGGTTACCAAGCTTTTTGTTGTTTAAACACTGGAACAGTAATGTCTACCAGACATGCCCAGCAGGCCCATCAGTATCCATAAAAAGAAAAGTCAGGTTAGTGTTTTGGCTATCAACGACTTGTCAGAATTGAAGAGTCTGCACTTGAAACAATAATCTATATTTTCTCTCTTCATCTACTGAGAAGCCTGCTGCATATTTTCAGCCCATTTTTATTTTAGATTTCCACCGTTTGTAGGGTTTAAGTCTTTTTCTGACTTGTACTGTCATTTAACAAGGTAGAATCAAGTTAGTTCCCAACTAGAGGTAAATCTGTGCTGCTAACTTTAGAAAAAAGAGGTTGGAAAAGATAAGTAGAATAGACTACTACAAACAAAATAGAAATTAAGGTTAATTCTAACATTGAAAATAAATAATCAATTGTTTGGAGTAAACTAAAGTACACTATTCACAAGCAATCTAGGATTATGTGATTACTGATGTGCGTGTAGGAGACTGTAGTGGTGTCTCATGGGAAGTGTGGTTAGCACTGCAAAGGGGGATGATTTACACCATCTGAAAGTTACATAACATTTGATGGCAGTAAGTTGTGTAAAATTACTTGTACCGTTACAGCAGTTGTCCTTCAGTACTTGATTGAAGTGTTAATCTACATTGCTTGCTTAAGACCCAGGGTGAGGTTTGAAGTCGTAATATTTTTCATCCAGCAGTGAAATACAACCACTGAGATGAGCTGACATGCAAGTCAGGCGAACCCTTTAGACAATATACTACAATGACTTACATTTCTGTAGCATTCCTTGTTGCAAGGTCCTTTAAAGAACAACAATAGAAACAGCAGTAGGAATAAGCGAAAAGAAAAATAAGAAATGAAGGCACAAACCGTTAAAGAGAAAAACAGAGTCTTTTTGAATAGGAAAGGATATGTGCCAAAGGAAAAATGCTCCAGAGGGCAAAATATTCTAAAGCAGTGCAAACACACCGGTAGATTTATTTCAAGCTTAAAAAAAATCACTATCTTCCTTTTGACTTGAGGGTTCCTGACCAGCTTGGGGGGGGAAAAAACTGCCTTTTTCTAAGGCTACTGGTTTATCACAATCTGAATTGGATTCACTCTGTTCTACATGTCTAAATTTAACTGCTGCTCACCTGGCAAACTTTGACATTGGAAGAGAAATGTGATTCAGTTTTGAACTGAAGCAATAACTACTGCATAGTTATTGGTACAGCAGAAAGTTACTTGATGATGGAAGTTGCTGCAAGCCCATTAATTATAGAGTTGGTAGCTCGACCTTTTTTTTAATAATTAGTTTTCTTGATGTCATCATTTCCTCTGACTTTAAATGGGACTCTTACTGCCAAAACTGTCACCAGAAAGATTTTTTTTCTCTCAAAACTTTTGTTGAAGCAGCATTCAGTTGAAAACCCCCATCCTAGTAATGCTGTTCTGGCACTGTTGTGGCACTCCTGGAATGGATACCAGAAAATGTTTTTCATTAGATAGATGATTCCCTCTTGCCTTTCTCACCTACAAATGTTCTTTACCATGGATAGGAGCAGGATGAGAGAACATAACAAAAAAAAGACATTTTAACTGAATCTGAGCATTTTACTAAACTATCTTTGTTATCTGATAAATTTGCACTTCAAACATACAAAGTTTCAACCTTGACAGGTATTGCCCAAAGCAAGCAAATTAAATTACAGACACATCCAGTTACACATAAACCCAATACATTTAGGCAAATAAACTTTAAATAAATGTTACCGATAAATGAATGGAAAATGAAATAGGATCTCATTGTCTATCTGAACTTTCACATTCACTTCTGTTGGCTGAAAAGTTTTGTTTGTGTTTCCTTAGTAAATTAATAGCTTTTTGTCTCCATAAGTCATGTTACCACAACTTGAATTCAGAACAAGAATCAAGTTCTGCATGAAGCCTGGCTTGTGCTCTTTTGAGTCTACCAAATCCAGTTAATTAAAAGTGATAATAGTATGAAATCATTTGTATTTTGGGAAATTTTCCATTGTAATTATCTAAGTTCAAGAAATTGTGCAACAGGAAATTCTTTCTGTTAATTCAACTTAGTACACGCAAACCTTGGAAAAGTAGATAATACTAGAGAAAAATTGACTGAAAATATTAAGTCCCAAGATAATCTTGACATAAGCCAAATTTTAACAACACAGTTTTTGCTTTATTGAGCAACTTTGATGAAGAGCCAAGGACCATAGTCCAGGACAATACCAAAGTCAAACAAAACCAACTAAGATGAAAAGGTACACTTGAACATAGCTGTTTGATGACTTCAAGCTAAAGATTTAAGAGATTGTAAACTGTAGGATACTTAGTCTTGATTTAGCCAGCATTAATACAAAACTGGTGTATAACCTCAGATGAGAAAGCTCAGTATTCAAATTGAAAATATGACCTTCTGAATTAGTAACACTGTATCATGAAAGGCAATGTGCAAATTCACATTCACTGTGTTTTCTTTTTACTTGTGGGCAATAAACATACTGAGTTAAGATTTCATAGAATTCATACCACTAGTGACTGATGCTATTAAAGTTGTATAGCTTTAATTGGGGATCTTCATAAATTCTATGCATTCTTCGTAAAATTGGATATCCATTGCATTAAAAATAAGATGGTGAATACTCAGGAAAAATGGGAATGAGAGGAAGAAAAAGTAGAGAAGGAAAAGAAAGAATGTGAGACAAATGTATAGCTGTCATTTTGTCATTACACAGAATGACCCAAGTGGGAGCCAGGTACTGTTGCCTGGTTGCATCAACATCAAAACGGGAAAGACAGAATTCTTTAAATCAGATGATGGAAGTTAAAAGTGACCTTCTACTTTTACCACTATCAAAGCAGCAGATACATGGGAAAGCCACCATTTGCAAGTTTATTTCCAAGCCACTTATCATTCTGACTTGGAAATATATTGCTGTCCCCTCAGTATTTTGGTTCAAAGTCCTGGAATTCCCTTCTTAATGATGTTCTGGTCTTCATCAAATGGACTGCAGAGGGTCAAGCAGCATCTTATCACCTCCCTGTCAAGGGCACTTAGGAATGAGCAATAAAATACTGACACAGTCAGCAATGCCCATGTCCCATGAGTGAATAGAATGTGAATATGCTGCTGGGTGCTAAGGCGAACAGTTTAAAAAGCTTGTCTCCATTATTATAAAAACTAAGGGAACTCGGGAAGGGAAGGCCAGTGCTTAAGGCTGGGGAAGGTTGAAGGGATCACCGCATGCCTTTCAAGGAGTGCAGGAAAAGACCTCCCATTCTCCCCTGGATTCCCTGACACTTAAAGCAGAGACAGCCTCACCTCAGGACTCCAGTTTGAATATGTTAATCAGATGTCCCACTTATCCAAGTTAAGGACACTCAAAGCTGGATAAAACAGACAGCAGGCATGAGTTCAGTGTGTTGGATGCATTTCTTGTAGTTAATTCTTTAATCAATGCCAATTGTAACTGCATGAAACATCTCTTTTTCTTTCCCCGTTTTGTTTACATGCGGTTTGTTATATAAATCCTCCAGATGGTCATAAACCCATTAGTTACAGCAGTGGTCCTGTCCTGACATTAGAACATAAAAATTGTCCTGCTCGTGAGTCTTTGTAAACCACAATGTTCTCTTTCTTTTTTGCCCAACAGCGAATACTTAGTTTTATAAGACTCTGTTTCTTCAAGATGTTGATGTGGTTGGATTCTGTGTTTTTTTTTCAGTTTAACAATGCTGCATGCTGTTTGTACAATAGGTACAGGAGGCAAGTAATGATGTGTACTATTACAGTTTACGAGAGTTTTCAATTTAAGTGGCTTTCCAGAAGCTTCTGAGTTCATTTTTGTTAGCTTATAGACTCAGGAATGTCTGTTATTACTTTGATGCAAAGAGTCGTGAAATGAGTATTATTAACAGAAAAGACTTGTGCATGTTCTTGATAAAAGCCGAGCATAAAATATCACAACGAACTATGAAATCACAGGGTCTGAAATTCTTGGCATGTTGTTGCAACATCAGAGATTTCACGTGCAGGACTTCTGCCCGTCATGATAACTTGACACCGAAGTCAGCATCAGTTAAGGGCTCAGACAAGTAATGAAAGGTTGTGCACATATTGGAAATCCAGACTGCAGTGCTTGAGGAAAGCAAGGGAGAATTGGGGTGGGGGTGACAAACTTATTGTATTGCTAGAATGATATCTCAGCTATTTATTACAGGGAGCAATGCAGTGAGACTTCTACTTCTGTCTTGGGAGGGAGCCTTGCCTTAGAGGACTGCCTGCTGGTCAGATGGCAGCAGTTCTGTAGTCCCAGCAGAGCTCACTGGCTGTCCCATCACACCAAGGAACCCAAGTTAAGTCTGCAATCAGGAGTTTCAGTGAGGAGTTGAGAGGGGTGGTTGCCTTCAAGAGAACCCAGGGGGCAATTAGAAGAGAGGTTGAGCTTGGCCAGTGGGGGCAGGGAAGGGATGATTCTGATTGATCCAGGGGA